TAGGTACACGTAACTGTGAAATTAAGAAGAAAGTAAGTATTTAAACTAATTATTGAGAAATGATACTTAAAAGGTTGTGGTTTTGATCAGCAGTCTGTGCTGAGTTAACTGAGACGCCGTCTGGCGTGGAGGGCGTTCGCTCACAAATATACAGTCAATTCACTTTACAATATATTCTGTGAAGCGCTTTGGGACGTCTAGAAGACTTGAAAAGCGCTATATCAAATGCAAGGATTATTATATAAATTCAAGTTGTTATTGTTAACTGATCTCAAGGAGTAGGGGACTACGACATCCATATAGGTCTTAATGAATTTGGGCTGAGGAGTGGGGAACAAACAACTAGGATTTTCATTCCTGTTCGCTATCCAATGACCCTGCCGGAAAGTGCACATTTATGAACGGCATTTGAGAACAAGCTTAGCTGTGATGTTCCGCTATAAAATAGATGGCTAAAATTCGCTGTGTAGGCTCACACATGAACGGTTTAGAGTGAGATACCGAATGTACTTTTCGAACTTGTGGCAGCATTTTCAGGAGAGGTGAACATCAGCAAAGTATTATTCAAAAGCTTGTAGTTTGGTGTTAATATCACAGAACTAAAACTGCTATAGAACTAATATTTAAGTAGCTTTATTCTTGTATTACCAAACTTTTAAAAAGTTGCAGGACTACACGGTAGGGAGACGGTACATTCTCTGAAGCTACTGCCAGCCTAATGTTTAATCTAACTGAAGTTTCACTCTTCACTTCGCATCTCCCTCTTGTTTGGTGGAACATGTTTCTTAGGGATGTTGACGGTCTTGTGGTACTTCATCCAAATAGACATTCTTTACATGTGAGAAAACTGAAGTTGTTACAGGACAATGATTGTAAGTGAGCTATTTTACGGAGGGGAGGGAAAGAAGAGCATGAAAGCCTTCTCTGATCGAATTCTCAAGTAACAACTGCAGTTTTCTCAAGGATCTCTGGTTCAGGAGCAGGAACCCTGGCTTTCTTTCTCCTCACCACGTCCTCCATTAGCTCATCTACATGTATGCATTCATGTAAAGTGGTTATTGACCCAAATACAGTAACTATATTGTATTTCCTGTGAACTTTTTCTAACATTAAGCTTATCCCATTAGGAAGAGGGGAGGATTGGAACTTAAAGCTGAGACTGACTCATCATCCAGGATGTGTGCCATTTTCATTGACAGTCTAATTGAATTTTTGGCAGATTTCTAGTTCAATTTGGCCTTCATTTCTTGGTTATAAATACCATTAGTGTCTGTAATGCTGCTGCCCTTTTTCACCCATCCCCCTAAGTATGTTTTAGTTTTTATTTAACTTACTGCGTTGTGCAGTACTGATCCTTAGAGGTCCTAGGTTCCAACCTTCTGTTTTGAGTTAGCTGATCTCAGCCAACGCGATATTGGGAACAATAGAATTGCCCACATGATTTCACAGTTAGATGGAAAACAATTGGACAGTTCCATTTTTGACTAGAAATTTTATTAATTAAACTAAAAATCTGCTGAAAAAATCAATTAAAACCTTTATTATTAAGAAGCGGCATATGGATTTTGATGAATATATATATATTTATGGTGTGCAAAACAGAACAGAAAACTGCAAATGTGTACACAATAAAGATTTCCCATTAGTAATGGTGATGAAGAAAAATATTGTTCATTAAATAAAGTTTACTATCAATGCAAAGGTTTTATCAATAAAACGAATCAAATTCCTGGCTACATCTCTAAGGTATTTGACTGTAAATCAAGGAAGTTTTTATACGTTTGATTAGATTACCACTGTGTTTCGAGTACTGTGTACAATTTTGGGAATCCAGCCAGCTTAACAACATTAATACGTTAGAGTGATTTCAGAGACAAGAACTGTAGTGAGTTCAGAGAAGAGAAATGAAAATTACTCTTATGTGTAGAACTCTTGTTTTGTGGTGAAGCTCACAAAGCTGAATTTATTTTCATTGGAAATAAGATTGAAGACTAAGAGGCATAGATGATGTTGATATCAACAAACTATTTGTATTAGATCATGAGCAAATAGCTAGGATAATTAAGATTAGTATACAAAACTTCAAGTTGGATTGGAAAAAATCCCTGCGTAGAAATAGATATGTGAAAGAAATTCCCAACAAGGCAGTTAATGCTATCAATTAACTCTTTCACAATGAGCCAAACAAGTGTGTAGTTGAAAACAATACTGAAATAACAACAACAAATTGCATTATATAGCGCCTTTCACATCAAGAGGACATGCCAAAGCGCTTCACGGAATATATTGTAAAACGAAATGACTTTTGTGGGTGAAAGCGGCAGCCAAATTGCTCACAGCAATGTCCCACAAACGGCCATGGAGTGAATGACCAATTTTATTTGGGGGATTGTTGGCCAGCAAGCAAGGAGAAATTCCCTTTTCTTTTTAAATAGTTCCATGTGATCTCACCATCCACCTGAACAGGCAGATTTAATGCCTCACCTGAAAGTTTCATCTCCAGTAATGCAACAGATCTCCAGCACTGTATTGGAGTGTCATCTTAGAACATACAAGTTCTAAATCCCTCCAGGGTTTGACCCCACAAACTTCTGACTCAGAGGCGAGAATGCCACCATCTGAGCCAGCCTAACACACTCATAGCATTCATAATTACACATTTCTTCTTACTTACTCAGAAATACTGCAATTTACATTTCGATGTGAAAAGCACTATGTAAGTGCAGTTTGCTTGTTACTATAACTTTTTTTAACCTCACTGGGCAGGGGTTTTGAACAATTTTCAGTGAATGAAAATTCACACTGCATTGGAGCACCCAGCACAAACAATTGAAACTCAAATCCAAGAAGTTTATATGACTCGATTTCACATTAGACAGTGGTTTACCAATTTTGGAAAGCTTAGCAGTAATTGGAAATATATCATCCAACTTGAAAGCAGATGATAAATAGTGCGGTGAAAGAGAAAAAATAACAGAAATGATAAATTCGGGGGCAGCCCCAATGGTGTAATAATATGAGCGGCAGCCTATGGACGAGGAGCGCGCTGGTTTGCTCAGTCCCTGCTAAGTTTGCTAGTGTCAAGCGAAGAGGCATGAGAAGGTGAAATTGACCCAGCCTTGACAAATTTTAGGGAGGAGAAAGTCAGCTGAGATTTTGGACCTAAACCCTATTCAGCACCCAATAATTGTTCACATCATGTGTGGTAATAGGTGAGGAACAGTAGCAAAAGTAGAATGAAATGAGAAAAAAATGATCCAATCAAGTTTTACCCTTCTATCGACCATTGGGTTGGAAGCAATCGTAGAAAAATGGCAGTGTGAATACAACTGCTTTAAGGAATCTTTTATAAGTGCGCTAACTTCCAGGATCTACGCTCTGACAAGATTTTGAGTCAGTGCAGGCTTCTTGTGAATCAGCATGCCACAAGGCGTGTCAGGTATCTTGTATGCTTTCTGGTGTGAGATGCCATTTATGATACTATTTTCTTGACAAGCGCTGTTTCAACCCACATATCCTGTAATAGGCCTTACCCAATTTATGAATTGCTCCTGAGGGAAAGATCTGAAGAGTTGCTCCCTGCCTAAACAGGTAGCAACTTATTACTTTCAAAGTAATCAAGTCAAATTCCAGGATATCTTAAATCCATATTAAATATTCCTAATTAGCTGCTTTCCAAGACATGTTCCAATGTCACAGAAACTCAGGACCAGATGCAACATACACTAAGTCTGATATTTGTATTGTCCTTCGACACCGTTGACCACTCTGTCTTCATCCACTGCTTCTCTCACCTCAACCTTTACGGTTCTGCCCTTGAATGGTTCAGATCGTACCTCTCACGCCGCCTCCACTTCATCTCCACAAACGGTTTCTCCTCTAGCCATCGCACTGTCTCCTACAGCGTTCCTCAGGGCTCTGTACCTGGTCCCCTCCTCTTCAACATCTGTATGCTCCCTCTTGGTGACATCATCCGCAGACATGGGGTCAACTTCCACATTTATGCGGATGACACCCAACTGTACCTCTCTGCCTCCACCCTTGACTCCTGGACAACTGCTGTCCTGACAGAATGTATATCAGACATTAAGTCCTGGATGAGAGCTAACCTTCTTCAGTTGAATGTCAACAAGACCGAGGCCTTCCTGATTTGCTCCCGTCAGCGCTTCCTTACCTCAGGCGCTGACAGCATCACCATCCATAGATGCACACTCTGCCTTACTAAGCCAGTCCGGTACCTTGGCGTCTTGTTTGACCCTCAACTATCCTTTCTACCCCACATCCGTGCCATGATATGCTCTGCCTTCGCTCACCTCCGCGTCATTGCCCAGCTCCGCCACTGTCTCACACCGCAGGCCGCTGAAAAAACTCATCAATGCATTCATAACATCGAGGCTTGACTATGCAAACTCCTTGCTTGTCGGCCTTCCCGGCTCCTCCCTCCATAGGCTGCAGATCATTCAGAAATCGCAGCCTGTGTCTACTCCCGCACCAGGCTCCGTGACCCTTTCACCCCCATCCTCACCCGACTCCACTGGCTTCCTATCACGCAGAGGATACAGTTCAAGATCCTGGTCCTCACCTTCAAAGTCCTCCATGGCTTTGCTCCCCACTACCTCTACAACATCCTAATTCCCTACCATCCTGCCTGCTTCCACCGCTCAGCCTGTTCCGGCCTGCTTCATGACCCCCGCTTGTCCACCCCACCATTTGCGGGCGGCCTTCTGCCACTCTGCCCCCACCCTCTGAAACTCCATCCCGCAGTCCCTCTGCCTCACTCCCTCCCTTGCTTTTTCAAGACCCTCCTCTTCGACCATGCTTTCAATCAACCTGCTTCCCCCACTGCCCTCCACCCTCCCCAATCCCAACCCCCAGCTTGGGTCCGAAACACTGACTGTCCAGCGCCTTGGGACGTCCTCCAGACGTGAAAGTTACTTTACAAATGTAATTTTGTTGTTGTTGTACTATGCTATGACAGAACTATAACTATTTTCTTTCAGTGTGCAGAAGGATCCTCGTACAAAACTTATCAGCATTGTCTCCACAGTGTTCAAAGTTACTGCTTATGTAAGTATTGTTTCAGAACAAGACTGATGAATGACATTTGAATTTCCTTAAAACTGTTGAATTACCCATGGTTGTAATATGGAATTAAAGATGGTCTCATTCCTCGTTCAAAACTCAAAATTCAAAACTCGTTCCATAATCTTAGTGGCGAATTTGCAATGAGAAAATATTGTAGTCTTTATCTTTAGAGCTGATTAATCACCGATCAATTGTATTATTCAAATACTAAAGTGCTCTTTAAATTCAGGTACATTCACAATCCAACTTCAATAGATTGAGCATCCAGTAACGACTAAAGTAAAAATGAGCCTTTGTTACATTTTTTTTTAAAAAGCGATGTCTTTGAAAATATAACTGGAAGGAATATAACTGCCAAAAAAAAGATTTTAAATTGCTTTTTAATTTAACAAATTCATACTGTCTTTAAGTCATTTCACAAGCCACTTTGTGAGTCTGTCTCCACTTGCTGCAGCCGCCATAAATTACCTTCTGTATTTCTCAATTGTGCAGGACTGATGATAAGGGAGTGACATGTGGGGGACACTGTATGTGCAATTGGCTGCCACGTTTCGCCCACAAAATATAGTCATTTCACTTTGCAGTATATCCTGTGAAGCGCTTTGAGACGTCTCGGAGACATGATAAGGCGCTATATAAAATGCAAGGATTATTATTATTATCTTTATTCACTGTACTGTGTCGAATTGTTGAAAGTAATTGAACTTTCGGTCTCTGAGAGTAAAATGCGCTGTGATGTATTGAACAGAATGATATCAGGCTCAATTCCAAGTCTGATGTATTGAACAGAATGATATCAGGCTCAATTCCAAGTCTGCACAAGATTATCTGATCTCATGCATGTGTGGAACTGTCTGATTTAGATATTCTTAAGCATGGTGATGGGTTTTGCATGTGTCAGACACCCGGCGGACCCAAAAAAATTAGCTGATCTCAGCTAAGGCACTCTAATTGATTCCAGTGTCTCCAGGCAAGGGAGGAGAAAAATCAGCTTCGATTCCTGTTTTTGATTGTTGTTAGGTTATCTCTTTCTCCCACTGGAAAATTGAGTGTGTGTAGATGAATGTCAGATGAATACTGGATTACGATTGGTTATGGTGCTCTCAAGATCTAAAGCTTACCAATGCGGGTTCAATGCAGGTTGTCTAAGTTCATATTTTGAAACTGGCTGTGTGGGAGGTAGTGGAAAGCTAAATTTGTATATAAGTGATTTTTATTTTAGTCAATCGGGTATCTGACACACACAGAAACCCATCATCCTAATTAAAATTCTTGAACAAATCTACTGAGAGTTCATACCTATTTGTCTGGAATGGAGTGTTCAGTGCTTTAATAATAATAATAATAATCCTTGCATTTGATATAACGCTTTTCATGTCGGGAGGACGTTCCAAAGCGCTTCACAGAACACACTGTAAAGTGAATTGATAGTATATTTGTGGGCGAACGCGGCAGCCAATTGCGCACAGCAATGTCCCACAAACAGTCGTAGATTGAAAATGACCAATTTATTATTGTTTTTGGTTTTGGAGGGATTATTATTATTAGGCGTGTGGAGTAAGGAAACTTGCCCAAGGTTTCGCCCTGCCTGAAATTGAACTCAGGTCTCTCGCTTGCAAAGCTACTTGTACCACTGAGCTACAGGACTCATGTGAAAGGCTGTACAAATATAATTTGTTGTTGCATTGTCTCTCCAAGGGACACACCCTGCTTAGCTAATTCTGGAGAATTTAGATGCAGGTTGGCAAGAATCAAGACATGGGTACCACCTCCAAACTCAATACCAGCATTGTAAAGGAAGTACACCAAAAAATACAACTTAATATTCTCAGGTTAAGCAACATGGACCTGGCAATCAAAAACATCACATTGGTCTAGCATTGCATCGAATACTTAGGTTTCTGTGTTTGGAGTATCTACCTCAGATGCACTTAATAAGCATGAGCCATTCTAGACCCGAGAACACGACTCAACCTCATAAGGGCAGAGCAATGTTTGTTTATGGAAATATGAAAAGCTTCAATCTTGTTGTCCCACTAACATATTAACTAATTTTACAGGATGATTATGGCATATGTTATCCTTCCACCACGGAGCATGAACAAACTTTTGCCTATCTGATTGTGGATGCAATAAAGCGTCATGTACATGTATTTTACCATTCCTTTGGAGGAGGGTTATTTACAGATCCTTGTGATTAACAGTTACATTGCTGGATCAGCACACTTATTATGGATTATTCAACTGAAGACTTGCTGTATATGTTATGAAGGCAAGCAAAGGATTATTTGTTCCAATATTTGAGACTGTTTCCTTTCCAGCTTTCTTTTCCTGTTTTTGTATTTGATTAGGATATAAATCAGATAAAAAATGCAAAATGCAATTTTTAAAAAAAAATCCTTCAGGATATTTACTTAGCTATTTAAATGTGATAGTTTTGTTCTGTTAGATAATTTATAAAGTAGTACATTTAGAATAGATTTCTAGAATGTTAACAATTATTTATTTTTGTTCTATATCGTTGCTAAAATGGAGATTATAATTTACTAATTTCAAAATGTTTAACAGTTTGGATATTTTCCATCCGTGCTTTTGATCATTTCCAATTTGTAACAATAAAAAATGAGCTAATATATTATTGTGTACTTATTATTAGATCTGAGTTTTATGCAGATTATTTAATATGAATATATAATATATTTGAAATTAACTTGCAAGTTCTTATTCTTGCAGTTATTCTGCTTTACTGTGTCCAGACTTACTCATCATGAATTCTAATTTCTCTCAACATGGATTTATTTTCTTTAATTGCATATTGTTTAAATGGTTTCATACTAATTTCTCCCCAACACACACAAACGTTGGTTGGGGGTTGATATTATTCCTCTAGGTGTATTGGATTTCTAACTTGAAAATCTTAATATTTTCTCAACACACATTTTGACTAAATTTTAAAAATATTCAATTTGATCTCAAGAGGTATTAGGGGACAGAATTAGTGCTGATAACATAGAGTTATGTGCGGTAATGTAACCAAGTTATGTTAGTTTTTACAATGACAACAACAACTTGCATTTATATAGCACTCTTCATACCGGACTGCGTCTCGGAGCGTTTAAGTAATAGGTTATGCTTCCCTAAAACCATAAAGTAGCTGTACTAATAGGTAGACATGTGGCTTGCAGTAGCATGTTTATTTCCCTTACAGAATAGTAACACTCCTGGTAGCTATGGAAAGCTTGTATCGGGTCCTGCTGCCAAGAAGTAAATGTCCAGTTAAAGAAAATTATACCACAAATGTGGGTTGAGCTTTTTCCACATAATTAAAATTGCTATTTTTATATATTCTGAAATTGTAGAAATTGTCCCCACCCAGTTGTAGCTTTTGTTAAAGTGGTATAGAAAGCGTATTTAACACAGTAATCCATTGCAAGGTTGGGTGTACTATTAACATTAGTAGTGAATCTACCAATAGAAACATGCAAAATATTTTTCCATACAAATTGTTTTCTGAATCAATTTTTAAAAAATATGTTTTGATAGCGGAAGTTAAACTCTGCTGGGTCTCTTCTGTAGAGATCACATAAGTACAATTAGGAAAAATCTGCTGCCACATGGAGAGGTGGGCTGAAATTCAGCAGAAAGTCTGGAAATAAAGCATTTGCTACAGGTAATTGCTATTAAGGTGTTTAGCTGTTGAGATGTCCAGAGATCTAAATATATTCTGATGTTTATTTGAGAGAATACACAATGCTTTTCAGGCATGCCTTCAATCTTTGTTTTATTTTGCTTCCATTCTCCAATTTTCTGCAGTCATCTCCTGGAAACGTTGCTGAGTAGGATTGCACAGATGCTGGCCAACTTCCAATAACTTAAGTAGACATTCTTCATGTGTAAGTCTAGACAGTGAATGTTGGCAGATTAAGCAACTGTGAGGGGCATTACTGCCAACCTGATACTTTCCTCACCCAATGTTCCAGCAGATCTTACTGAAATAAGGAGAAACCCTTGCTAATGTTCCCCTCCTTAGCTCAGGGCACTGAGGCTTATTATAATATCCCCACTGCTATTTGAGTTGAGATCAGCTAACTCAACACAGACCAGAGATCAAATCTGAGCCTGTATTGTTCAATTAAAAAAAAGCTTTATCAACTGAGCCATGGGAGGGATCCTTGTGTCTTCCTTGATGTGTTCCTGTACCCTCTATCCATGGATAAAAGTATTTCCTTGGTGAAAAATGGGATTCAAATTAAATTTGCCAACTACTGGTAAATAATCTTTACCAAGGCATTGAAGGACTGCACAAAATGAAAAAAATAGGCACAGCCTTAAAAAGATTTCAACATGTTTCAGGATGAGTTAAGATTGAGAAAATATTTCAGCACAGTAAATATTGATACTGTTGAAAGTGGGTTCCCATTTACATCATTTACAATGGAAGCTGAATTCAAATTGGTACTTTTAAAATTATTCATGTTGGGTGTCCAACTGAAGTTTTTGTTGAGATATTCCGCAATGACAGAGCGAGAAAGTGAAGGTTACTAAAGATGTTTGCTTGAAGGTACTGAGTATTGCCGGGGTACAGATCCATGGGCAATGGTCATACTACAGTACTACTACAGTACTTCATGTATAGTTGTTAGTCCGCACCTGAATCTGGACAGTGATTGTTTGCAGGTCGTTTAATCATTGTGGGCAGTAGAACCTGACCCTGCTTGGACCCAACATCTACAGTTTCCATCAGAGGATGGTGAGAGTGATCCCTCAGGGGATAGTGATAAAGAAAAGGAACCCAAAATGACTTTCCCTCTCCCCAGGCCAGGGTGCTAAGCAGTGGTGTCACAAGGCCCGGAAGGGGTCCTGATGTAAGAATCTAACATCCCAAGGTGCTGGGACATATTTTATACCTTGTAACCTTTGATATCTTTACCATCTCCATCTCCTTGTGTTCTCTCCCCCCACACATACATAACACATATTGTTATGCAATGTCTTGCTTGATGAAGAATTTAAGCAATTTTTAAAATTAGTAACTGAATATGCAAGTAACGAAGCCTCAAATTGTGAAGCCGATGCTACTGCTGTCAGCTCTATGGATATTGTCTTTTTTACAGGACGTGTATCATTATTTCTGTTTCACATGAGAACTGTTATTTATGCTAGTTTCTCACAAACTGCAATAAATAAATTTAGTGGCAGTCAGGAATGGGTAGTTGTAATTATTCATATTTTCGTTGGTTCTTGACCACAATGTTGCAATAATGAGGACTATGGTAACAGCTTTTTTGTGTTTAAACCCTTAATCTTAAATGATAATATCCCACCATGGTCACCATCGACAGGAAATGCAGCTGGGAAAAAGAAGCTCATGTGAAACAGAAATAATGATACTCTATTGCAAGTTCTGTGAGAAGGCTGATGAGATACTATAACAAGGCTGTAACTGGTAAATTCTCACATGGTTTACCAAAAACTAAAACATTAATTTATCATGGATGTATAGCAATGGTGTTGTTGCAAAAATGCTCGTATTATAATCTCTACAATAAAGTTTCTGAAATGAAAATGACTGGATACCTCTCAAACTACTGACTGACTTTATTGTAGTCCTCAACCGAAACGAATCAAGCACAAAACCATATCAATAGTGGTGTCTGTGTGTGTGTGTGTGTGTGTGTGGTCTAACGGTGATACTGATTAAGAATGAACACTTTCAAGAGAAAAACAGAGAAAACGACCTTGCTTCTCATTAAACGCCGAGTAACTAACTGTGTGGTACAGGCGGCACTCACCGCTACCGATAACAACAAATATCATGTCAAATTTCCAGCACATTACTTCTCCACGGGGTTTATTAAGGTGATGATGTCTGTCTTTTGAATGGAAACGAAAGTGTTATGATACAGCAATGGCCGCAGCAGTTTCTGGGTAATTGTTAACACGTACAAGTGACCCTTATAATCCGTGGTTTTCATGCTTTTACAGTCAGTGAATGGGGATTAATTTAGAATTCGGATGGCTCGCTGTCTGACTGGATGAGAAAGCTGGGAAACAAAGTTCCTGTGCGCTGCTGAGTCCGATGCTTGACAAAATGATTTTATTCAATAGGCTGAGGTGAAAGCATCTGCATAACAATTGGGGGGGAAGGGGATGGGTCATTTCAGTCATTAAACAATGTAACGAGAAACCTCTCCCATTCCCCCCCCACCCCCCCAGCAATCAAGTGTTTTATTCACAACTTTTCAAGGGAAAGATAAACACTTTAGTTCTCGATTTCATTTTTTTTAAAAAAAGCAAGTTATAATCAAGCCTTTTTTTGTGAGTTAAATGGAATAGATGGCGATATGTTCTGTTCTAACACACGTACAGTGCAGTATCACCTAACATATATATATATATATGTGTACGCAGCATTTATATAGAGCACTTGTACTCTCTGATTGCAAAATTAGTTCACTATCTTTCAAAATGAATTGATGTGATGTGGCAAAAGAAACAGTGGGAGTAACCGAAACCAACGATTGTTATCTGTCTTAAGTTATGTCTCAGCAATTAAGGGAGAGAAAAAAAAACACACACATGAAGATTTCATCTCGTTTTGCGCAAAAAACATGCAATTTCGGGAGAACATCTAGAAAATAATAATAATTGTCCAGTGGTGTCGAAATGGTTCATTGGGAGGGAGTGCTGCGATTTCACGGGTGATTATTTATCTTTCTAATAATAACTCCAGGGCTTTTATATATATATACACATATATTAAAAGAACTGGAATAAGATGGCTTTCCTTTTGTTTCTTAACTAGGAAGGTAATCTCCCCAAGGCAGGCACGTTGTCCTTTGTAACTCGGTGTATAAGGATGCAAAAGTCCACACACCGTTCGAGAAAGAAACACGCTGCACAAGTCAGCTGTAAATGGGTGCAGAGTTTATCACGACACAAAACTGCCCAAATCCCTGCCGGGGGGGGGGGGGGGGCTGCGAGTGATAATCAACAGTATATTCAGAAGTTTCCAAATGGTCCACGATTAAATGTGGGTTTCAGATTCATTCGGTGAGTGGGGTGGGTTTTGTTGGGTGGGTGGGTTTGTTTGTGGGGGGGGGTGGGTTTGTTGGGTTGGGTGGGTTTGGTGGTGGGGTGGGTTTGTTGTTGGTGCGTGGGTTTGTTGGGTGGGGTGGGTTTGTTGGTGGGGTGGGTTTGTTGGTGGTGGGGTGGGTTTCTTGGGTTGGGTGGGTTTTGTTGGGTCGGGTGGGTTTATTGGTGGTGGGGTGGTTTGTTGGTGGGTGGGGTGGGTTTGGTGGTGGGGTGGGTTTGTTGGGTCGGGTATGTTTGATGGTGGGTTTGTGGGTGGGTGGGTTTGTTGTTGTTGGGTTTGTTGGTGGTGGGATGTGTTTGTTGGTGGGTTTGTGGGTGGGTTTGTGGGTGGGTTTGTGGGTGGGGGGGTTGTGGGTGGGTTTGTGGGTGGGGGGTGGGTTGTGGGTGGGGGGGGTTGTGGGTGGGGGGGGTTGTTGGTGGGTTTGTGGGTGGGGGGGGTTGTTGGTGGGTTTGTGGGTGGGGGGGGTTGTGGGTGGGTTTGTGGGTGGGGGGGGGGTTGTGGGTGGGTTGTGGGTGGGGGGTTTGTGGGTGTGGGGGGGTTGTGGGTGGGTTTGTGGGTGTGGGGGGGGGGTTGTGGGTGGGTTTGTGGGTGTGGGGGGGGTTGTGGGTGGGTTTGTGGGTGTGGGGGGGGGTTGTGGGTGGGGGGGGTTGTGGGGTTTGTGGGTGGGGGGGGGTTGTGGGTGGGTTGTGGGTGGGGGGGGTTGTGGGTGGGTTGTGTGTGGGGGGGGGGGGGGGGTTGTTGAGCAGATTGCAATGCATCCCGGACAGGAGGCGAAGCGAAGGCAAAAGCGACCAAAGTACATGGGCGACCAAACCCATGTGAACGTCACTGACGGTGGGCGGCGCGAGGAGGGGAGGAGAGGAGAGGGAGGAGAAGAGGGGAGGAGAGGAGAGGGAGGAGAGGAGGGAGGAGAGGGGAGGAGAGAGGAGGGCAAAAAAAAAAGGGGAAATCGAATAGAAAAAGTGGGATTTCTTGCGGTAACGCGGTGTGGCTCCGCCCGGTTCCAGGCGTCAGGGATCACATGCACAAGCAAAGTTTCAGGTCCCGAACCGAGTTAGTTGCAAACTTTCTGCAGAGAAACTTTTTCTCGTGTTGTGATTTTTTTTTTAGATTTTTCTCTTTCGCCTCTCAACCCTCCTCTCCCCCCCACCCCCCACCCCCCACCCCCCAACCCCCCACTCCTGCTCTTCCACCCCCCCACCCCCACCACCACCCTCACCCCCTACCACCCACCCACCCACCCTCCCTCCTTCCTCCTCCTCCTCCTCCTCAAGAAACGATGAAGTTGGAACCGAGTTTTTAAATCACACACAGAGAGAGAGAGAGAGAGAGAGACCCCCGAATGAAGTGAAGGGGGAGAATCCCGACCCCACCTGAACCCGGGGGTGAATTTTTTTTTTTTTTTTTTAAAAACACACACTTAAACAAGAAAAGACATATATACATATATATATTCGATACACATATATATATATATATATATAAAATTTAAAAAAAAAAAAAAATTTTTAAAATCAAGTTGTGTGTGTGTGTGTGTGGTGGGGAGAGAGATGGATTCGAACCAACAGCAACAGCAGCCGCAGCAGCAACAGCCATCGCAGGGGGGGCCGCCGCCGCCGCCGCCGCCGCCCGCCGCCCCCTCCTCGCTGCCGCCGGCCGGGCACCAGATCGTGCACGTCAGGGGCGACTCGGAGACCGACCTGGAGGCGCTGTTCAACGCCGTCATGAACCCCAAGGGCGCCAACGTGCCGCAGTCGGTGCCCATGCGGCTCCGCAAACTGCCCGACTCCTTCTTCAAGCAGCCGGAGCCCAAGTGCCACTCCCGCCAGGCGAGCAGCGACGGCTCCAACCCGGCGCAGGCCCCGCCGGGGCTGCAGGGGCAGCACGTCCGGGCTCACTCCTCGCCCGCCTCCCTGCTCAGCGCCGCCGCCGCCGCCGCTGCAGCCGCCGCAGCCGCCGCCGCCTCTTCGTCCAACGCCACCTCCAGCTCAGCCTCGCCCGCCCTGGCCCCCCCCCCTCAGGGGGCAGCCCCCCCCTCCTCTCACCTCCGACAGCCCTCCTACGAGTATCCCGACGACGTGCCGCTCCCTCCCGGCTGGGAAATGGCCAAAACGCCCTCTGGGCAGAGATACTACTTGAAGTAAGTGACTTGGACTCCTCCGCCCCAAACCTTCTCCCATCCCATCCCATCCCATCCCATCCCATTCATCCCATCCCATCCCATTCATCCCATCCCATCCCATCCCATTCATCCCATCCCATTCATCCCATCCCATCCATTTCATCCCATCCATCCCATCCCATTCATCCCTCCCATCCATCCCATCCCATCCAGTAACTAGTTAATGTGCATTTCAACTTTTTATCCTCAACTTCTCTTTGCACAACACGTTTGACTTGAAACAGTTGCAATTGTCCCTTTGTTTTGTTATTATTATTATTGTTATTGTTTTAATAATGTTACTTATATTATTTCCCCCCCCCCCCCCCCCCCCACACTAAAAAGGATGTCAGTGACCATACACTCACTCACTGGTCCTGCAAGCACGTTAGCTTGAAACAGTTGCCATTGGTTACTTTTTTGTTATTGCAACAATAATCATAATAATTATGATGATGGTTATTATTATGGTTATTTCGTTTGCATTTATATAAAAAAAAGATGCCGGCGAACATTACTTTGCCTGAAGTTTTCCTAGAAAGTCAGCAACTGTGAAGCAGATCAAGTTACAAGCTGGTTGGTGGGGGGGGGGGGGGGGGCAGTTTCTTGGGTGAGATTGTATAGAATGTGCAATCTCTTAACTCCAGTCCCAAACAGCGGCAGTTATATACATATATCTATATATATGTACCTTTTTTTCTCCCCCAAACAAAAAGAAAATGTGTGACTTGTAGCCTAAGGTGTGTGAGCTACACAGCTGTAAGGGGGGGGGGGGGGCGTTGCATTTGAGTTGGCAAACTGGGTTACACTGTAGCTGGTTATTAAATAGAGAACGTGGGAGCTTTAAACTGCAATAACAGGAGCCTTGTGGGGGGAAAAAAAGAAGGGATCGACTCCTTTACCGTCGGTCACATTGAGTTGTTTAAAGGATTAGTCGGAGAGTGGTCGCAATTGGGGAGTTTGGGATGTGCAAAGTTCCCACTCGCTCTGTCCAGCCTGGTAACCTGGTGAAGGGCTTTGCCCTGCTGTAACCTGGTGAAGGGCTTTGCCCTGCTGTAACCTGGTGAAGGGCTTTGCCCTGCTGTAACCTGGTGAAGGGCTTTGCCCTGCTGTAACCTGGTGAAGGGCTTTGCCCTGCTGTAACCTGGTGAAGGGCTTTGCCCTGCTGTAACCTGGTGAAGGGCTTTGCCCTGCTGTAACCTGGTGAAGGGCTTTGCCATGCTGTAACCTGGTGAAGGGCTTTGCCCTGCTGTAACCTGGTGAAGGGCTTTGCCCTGCTGTAACCTGGTGAAGGGCTTTGCCATGCTGTAACCTGGTGAAGGGCTTTGCCCTGCTGTAACCTGGTGAAGGGCTTTGCCCTGCTGTAACCTGGTGAAGGGCTTTGCCCTGCTGTAACCTGGTGAAGGGCTTTGCCCTGCTGTAACCTGGTGAAGGGCTTTGCCCTGCTGTAACCTGGTGAAGGGCTTTGCCCTGCTGTAACCTGGTGAAGGGAGGTGAAACAGACTGGGGTCTCAACACGGGGACAAACCTAACGCTGCACGTTTCACAACCCCATTTCAGAGAAAACTCCCAATAAAAGGTTTCTTCAAACAACCAATCAATCAACCTTGCTGTCAAGATGCCTGATTCCCCCCCCCCCCCCCCCCCCCACACACACACACACACACACATACAGCGAACCCGTCCCATTCCGTGTGGACACACCGAAACTCCAGATAGTTTGTTACATTCACATGTCATTTCTAATCTTGCAGCTACTTCTGTCGCCAGCTGACCTCTTAAAATCGAGATCAAAAGCCATGTTTGCAATCTCCCCCCCTCCACCCATTGATGCTTATTCCACAAACCCAGATGCACTCATTCCCTGCAGATGTGTTGCCGTGAATATGTGCAAAACAGCAGCATGTTTTTAAAAAAATCCCAACACTCATTCTACACAGTTAATGTGGGTTTGCATTGCTATCTGCAAACCATTATATTCAACATGTTCATACAAATGTTTTTTTTTCGCGATAGCAATGCATGTAATAAAATTGGTGCAGTTTGAGTTTAGCAGCTAGATTATTACTGTACACTATTTCTGAAAGGATGTGACTTGAAGGAGCCTCACTCAGATCTCTAGAAACTTTCTTTCCCCCCTCTGTGGCCAGTGAGCGAGCCCTATCCATTTCAGAGTGTCCGATTACAGTGGGAACAATAGCACTCTGTAGGAGCCTGAGACTGCAAAGTCCACATGTCTGGCAAAGTCATCTGCATGGGTCCCAGCGTTTGTTCCCTTTGCAGACAGCAAGAGTCAATGATTGAAAGAGCTGCGTGTGTTTCTTTAAGCAAAAGAGTTCTGAAAGTGGCCAAACTTTTTAACATTTCCCTTCTCGCATCGCAAGATGGGAGACAGAGAAAGAGAAGACTCACCTACCCTGTTTGGTAGGCGGGCTGCTGCTCTCTCTCTCTCTCTCTACCTTTCTTGTAACTCAGAAATAAAGTTACTAATGCTATTTACTTTTATTTCACATTGTTTGCTTCCTAAAAGGCAACATTCCCCCCCCCCCCCCATTTTTCTCTTTCCTGGAATTTTAGTTGATGGATCTCCTTTGCCTTGGTTTTAGGAAGAGGACAAATATACACAAAAGCTTTGTGAGGTGCAGAACATGTTACTGGAAGCTTATTTGTACCTTTTTATTGTCAAGCTGTTTCTCCTCTAGTTTTTCCTCTTCTTCAAGAAAAACCTGTCTTTGTCTTTCCTCCCCCGGCATTGTTTTGTAACCACCCCAAGTTGGGTTTCACCTGATTCCCTTAAACTCCTTATTTCTACGGGAAAGTAAGCAATCAAGTAAGTTACGTTGGGAGTCTCTCCACTCAGATCAAGCCCAAAACTGAAGTTTCTATCCAGAGTGATAGTGACTTTTTGTGAGTTATACATTCTAGTGACGCCTAAAGATTGCTCTTTGAAAACGGTGTAGTTTTTAGGCATATACAGGGTAATAAGTCTTGCACCAATCAAACGAAAGGAACAGTGTACATTTTGGGTAACAGAGCAGAGACTGACCTGGGCAGATGGATGCCTTTGTTTTGATGGTTTACAGTTTGATGTTGATTTCTTTGGGAACAACTATGCACTTCCACTCCACCTACTTTGAAATCCCTTTTCACCAGTCAGTACATTTGTAGTATAGTAATTGCTCTGGTGGATTTGAACAACCCAGCTCGGGGTCCTGCACTATGACAATGTGACTGACAAATTATTGAATTCATGTGTATGGTACGACTAAGGTGAAAGTGTCCCGGAATCCACCAGTTTTAGAGTATGAATAAGCAAGGCACCAAACACTATGGAACTGTTTGCACCAATAATACTACTAATAATAATCCTTGCATTTGATATAGCATCATTTAAGAGCATCACGGAATTTACTGTAAAGCGGATTGACTGTGCAATCTGTGGGGGTAATGCGGCAGCCAATTGCGCAGAGCAATGATGTTATCTGTTGGTCTTTCTAACAGTTCCAAGATCAATCCACAGCCCTCAGTTGGCATGAAATTTCCGTAACTGTCTATGAATCGTGATGATGATGATGAAGATGGGAGGAGAGGGCAGTTTGCCCGACATCATTTATTCCTCTCCACTTCTGCCATGGGTTATCTTAGCAGTGTGTACCCCCTATCTCTCTGGTTTGTCAATCTCACCTTTCTATAAACTTGCTTTAGATCTTCCCCCTCCTCCTCGCCTACTCAGGTTTGTGGCACTCCATGCCATGTGCCAAATCTCAATCAGACTGTGGAGTGGGGACTTAGTCACCTCAGCAAGATCCACAGAATGAGATCTCTTATCAATTGCTGCGTGCAATTTGCTGCCGCGTTTCACCCACAAAATACACTGTCAAATCACTTGAAAATATATTCTGTAAAGCACTTTGATAAGATGCTATATCAAATGGAAAGATTATTATTTGATTCAATAATTTGATTTAATTCTCCTGTGCTCCATACTCTTTGATTTTTTTCCCACCTCGGTGGTAATTGCAGAGGCAGGGTCTTGAATTGTAAGCTCAGTGAGATTTCTTTCAAGAAAACCACACGAAAAAGGATGTTGGGATGTCAATGTCGCTCCAGATGGAGAGAGTCAAAGTGATTCAAATATCTTTGCTCACTCGGTTTTATTCATCAGATAAGGATTTACTAATTGCAGGAATCTGATAGCGATCATAGACTGAATCACTTTTCAAAGTTGCATTTTCTGCTTTGCAACGCTTTTTTTTAATCTTTCCTCATAGACAGTGATTGTTGTAAATCTTGACTTTTTATCAGCCTGTCGCAGAGTCACGCCACACTGAGATTCTCACCTGATCAGGAACTTGTGATCTGGGAGCCTCTGCTGCTGGAGGTGCTGTTTTGCAAATGAAGACGAGAAGCCGATCAGCTAATCTCTGGTGTTTTTGTGTGCCTGGTCTCTGTATCCAGGAAACCTTTCACCTCACAAGAATTAGCTGTTGCACATTGTTTGGACTTCAGTTGCTGGATCTACCAATAATTACAAGTTTTAACGTTTAACTGTTCAAATGAAAGCTCTTTAATAAAACCGAGAGGAATGCACACTAAATATATAACTACTACAACAACAACCTGCATTTATTCAGCACTGCTCATGCAGAGTAGTGTCCCAGAGCGCTTAATATATAACATTATTGCAGCATCGCATGTCAATATTGTTTCCTTGAGATCAATAGTAGGGAATAGGATCGTGCCTATTTCATGTGGAATCAATTGAAATAATCTGCCTTATAAGGAGAAAGAGAGAAAACTAGCGATTGTTTTATTAACATGTTTCTCCAGCCATTTCAAATTATAATATCAATATCTTCCCTGCCCTTCGCAATACAGACCTCTGCAACTCTGAACAACTAACTGCAGCAACTGATAACACTCCTTGCATTCATTACTCATTGCATTAATCCTTGCCTTCACCTACAAATACATAGTCT